ATGAAATGCTTTTCAAGACAGTAGCAGCTCAGGATTGGGATTTCTGATGCCTCAGTTTGAGTATAAATGAAGATTGATCTACCCCTACATAAAGTGCCTGCTACTCCCCATTCCTGTCTGGCCTCTGCGGGCGATGGGCAGTCACAGGAGGAGATGTCATGCAAGAGCTGTGGTGGTGGTGGTGGCCACCAAATAAACGTGTGTATATTATATTTTCGGGGATTTCTACTATTAAGTTCTTTTTCTTGGATGCATTTTAGGCGTGTGTTTGCTGTTCCACTGGTTCCTTGTGGGAGCGGTAATTCCATGAAGAAAAATGATTGCTCTGTGGAGTCGTGTCTATAGAGCTGGATCTTTCATGTCTGAAGTGCTGCTTAGCAAAATGTTTTTGGGTTTGCAGAACCAGCTTAGATTTTTTTTGGCATGTGTGCTACACTCCTGATAAGTATTATGCAAAGCAAATTGTCTTCCGGAACCTGTACAACTTCATAGCCTTTGTGTTATGCTCAACTGCCACATCTTCAATTGCATTACTTTCATCACATTTGCACATTCACTGAAACATGATAAACAATTCTGCCATGCTCAAAAGTAAAATTCATCTTTTCCATGGCTGCATTTGCTTCACAGAGGAGGAAATACTGCCGAGTAAAAAGACAGTGCATGCAGGTAGACAGTTTTCAGAGGAGTGCCTCATGGAAGGTAACACTAAACCCAGACACTGAATCACTCCTAGGCATGAGCTGGAAAATAAGTATACATGCATTCATGAGATACGGTCTTTTTTTTTTTTCTCTGACAATCAGGCAGATGAATTTTTGGTTGAATTCTTCTAGTTTTAGATACACTCAATATAATTATTATCCTCAGGAAACCTAGGTGTCACATGTATTACTGCATACAGTTATGTACTAGGGGAAAGGATCATCACACAAATGCTTGGATTTTTTTTCTTTAGTATATGTTTATTTTGTTGTGCAGTCCTATCCATTAGGCTTTTTACAGAGATTTATATTTGGCCAATTCCTCTTCTAGAATTTTATTGTCATTCACTTATTTGAAAGATTGTCTTGGGCTCTGGGAAACGATCAATGCAAATGTTTGCTGTTGATGATTGTGTTTTGATATTTAATGATTTCTTAAACAGTCCAGCAGGTCTGTGGTATGGTTCTGTGCCCATGTAGAGAACAAACCCTCAGCGCTCCTTCTTTCTCTCCAAGGCTGAGTAAAAGCTGCCGAGATTGCTGTGCCAGCTCTGGGCGAAAGGCATTAGTGGAGAATCGGAGGAGATGGTACCACGTGCTGGGGTCTACGGCTTGGGGAGGAACACCCTCTCTGGATGTTATTTATGTAAAAAGAGGGCAATGAAGCAGGTATTCTATAAGGGAGCTGAAACACTGAGACTGAAATGTCTGTGAGCATGGCGCATCCACCTGTCTTTGCTTTAAGTTGGGCAGTTTGGGTACGATTAACAGTTTGGCTGTGGCAGAAGGGATCTCAGCACAGAGCAACTGCAGCACGCTTGGGTACTCAGTCAAGCCTGTATTATTTTCTGTAAGCACAGGACAGGCAGCAGCTTGAAGTTCGATTGGTAGCTCTATTCCATACCAAAGGCATAAATGAATAGTATGAACACAGGATACCTCATTTTTTCTTACCCCTGGTTGATTCCTAGTGCATGTGGTTGGGTTCTGCCTCTTACACAGGACAAATGCAATTATAAGCAAGCCAAAATATCTTAACGAATTCATGTGTAAAGTGTTTACATGAGTAGAGAAGGATATTTATTCCTCTTTATCGAACTTAAAATAAAAGCGATGGAAGTTTAAACATCTTAGGGGTCCAAAATAATACTTTATATCCATTCATTTTTTAGGCCTATGAACCCAAAATAATACTTTATATCCATTCATTTTTTAGGCCTATGAATCCAAATACAAACTGTTTACTAGTTTAACAGGTTTTTCTTTTTCCTAAGTAAGATTTACCAAAATTTCATTTGCAAAGTTTTGATGTTTTCTTAAGAATTTCTACTTATTGATTTTGCTGCTAAATGAATTCTCTAATTTCTGTAATTCCTAGAAATTTCATTCTCGTATCAGTATTTGCCCTTCTTTGGAGGAAAAAATGCACTGAACTGTAATATGTTCTACAGTCTATTTGGGCTGTTATTTATATACTGTATTGTAAAGCATCTGAAAACAAAAAATGGTATTTCAGCAAAACATCTATGTATCAGACATTTCTATTAACTTCAAGTGTGTAGTGAGAAGGTACAGTAGTGGTTTAATATATCATCAAGATAGACAATGTTGGAATGTACACATTAATCTACATTTTTAGGAATTACAAACAAGACAACTATGTGCACAGTATTTTAAAAGGCAGTGAACTTCTCTCCTAGTTGCATTGACAATAGCAGTTCTTTACACAGTGGAATCTGGTTAAAAGCTCTATTCCCATAGTAATAAATATGACATTACAGGTACAACATTGACAGCAGAGATCATTAAGGCTCTGTTCTGATGATCGTTTATTTCTCTGTGCATATCTCCCCTCCACTCCCCTCTTCTCTCAGCCCCTTCCCCCCCAAATACAGTCAATTTTTTTTTCACACAGATTGAAAAGCTCATTGGCTCCAGAGAATTCAGAAAGAAATTTTAAGATAAAAGATTTTAACCTGACAGTAATGAAATGTGTAATGAAATATAGATTCATAGAAATAGCAAAACCTGATATTTATAAAGCTGTTTTAATGTTTTTAATTATTTTTTTTGGTATGGCAGAAGAAATCAGCATCCGCATCCCATAGCGCTAAACACTCTACAATAGGCAGCACATGGAGAAAACAGTCCAGACTGAAGATCATACAGTCAGATTGGGTCTCAGCAGTCTTTGTGAATTTGAGGAAGAATGATGATCTCTGGTTTTGAGATACAGAAGGTGAGGCACAGAAAGTGTAAATGCTTTGCTCAGAAACACAGCGAACCAGTGGCAAACTTGCATTGTGTTCAGTTTTGGGCCCCTCATTACAAGTAAGAGATTAAGGAGCATGTCCAGAGAAGGGCAATGAAGCTGGTGAAGGGTCTAGAGCAAAAGTCTTACGAGGAGCGGTTGAGGGAACTGGGGTTGTTTAACCTGGAGAAAATGCTGGAGGAAAGGGGAGACCTTATCACTCTCTACAACTACCTGAAAGGAGGCTGTAGAGAGTTAGGGCTTGGGCTGCTCAACCAGCTAACAAGTGACAGGACAAGAGGAAATGGCCTCGAGTTGTACCAAGGGATTGGATATTAGGAAGAATTTCTTTACTGAAAGGGTTATCAGATGTTGGAACGGGTTGCCCAGGGCAATGATGGAGTCCCCTTCCCTGGAGGTATTTAGGAGTCAATAGACATAGAGCTGAAGGATGTGGTTTAGCTGAGGACTTGTCAGTGTTAGGCTAATGATTGGACTCCATGATCTTAAAGGTCTTTCCCAGTCTGGGCAATTGTGTGATTCTGTGACCTTGGGTCTGTTGACTCCCCAGACACTGATTTATTCATTGGCCCATTCTGTCCTCTTAAACAACTAAGAGAAGATCTTCTGAGATACAGTGGCTGGGCCTAGGATCGTAAGGGAATTGGGGCCAAATGCACACAGCCTGATTCTGCCCTTCCTTTTGGCATCTGTAGTCACGTTTACTTTGTAAAGAGGGCCTAAAATGCCCTCAAATCAAAACTAATTTGGCGTAAATGACTAATATATGCAGTTTAATACAGAATCAGGTTCACAGCAATTACTTTGTGGCACGCTGAGACTAGAATTCACTGTTTTAATTGCTAATGAATTAAGGCTGATTCCTGTTTATATTAAGGCCTCTATATCCTTCTACGACAGTGTAACTGTGCCTCAGTGCAAGTGAGACTCGAGCTGTTGAAAAAGTTAACCTTCCTTCTAAAGTCAATAATTTCAGTGGCCCTAAATAAATAAAATAACTGGAATCAAACAACTTGTCTGTGAATTTACAGAATATTTACAAACGGATTGCAAAATGACCTATAAGTAACCTGAGGGAAAAGAAATTATGTATTTGTTGAAGAAACAAGTTAGATTAGATAGACTTGTTGCCTGGTCATGAAAATGTAGAATTGCAACACAGTAACACACTTTTGCATGAAGATAACTGGCTTGATGTTCAGTGGTTATGAGTGTGCTCAGATCCGTTGCAGATACTTATCAACTCTGGAGATCAAGTCATTTTGTTATTCTACTACAATAAAATAGAAATAGACTTTTTTGGTATTGAAGTTCTAGACATATAGGGCATAGTCTGCATAAAGCTAGTGTGTGTTATATTCAGAGGAGTAGGAAGATGATCTCAAGCTGAGTAAAATGCTACATGATCACAGATCTCTCCTCTTGTTGTTAAAAGCTATTATGTATTTGCTTAGAATAGAGGTTCTCCAACTTTGCTCTCCGTAGCCAAGCATTGTTTTAGAAATTCTCTCCTCTCGAAATTCTATTCATAACAGTTTTGGTTTTAAAACCTTCATTTTTTAGACAACAGTTTAACATTTGCTGGCTGAGAATAAAACAATCCTTGCTCTATTCAAATTTAAGGCCTGGGTTCCCCGGGTTGCAGCACTTTAAAAGTTATTTTTACTTCTAGTTAGAAGTAGATTTTTTTTTTTTAAAGCTAGTACAGAATTTGTTTCTGTAAATTAACATAACTCCCTAGGCATCAGCGTGGCTATGATAATTACCCAGCTGAGGATCCAGCCACCGAAATGTAACTCCAGTGGTTGGGAAATCTGTTTTGTATACAAGTCAAGTAACAGCTGGATAACATGTGATGTTACATTTATTTTTACTGGCAATTCAGAAAATATTTAATAATAAATGTCATTGCTTCTGTTCTTCATTTTCATACACAAATAAATCATCTTTTCTAAAACATTCTTTAGTAAGGCTTGTGTTCATAGTCATATCAAAAGTGTTTGCTATTGGAGCAATCTTTCAGCTTGCTTTCTTTAATCTTTATTATTAAATTCTACAGCATTCTAAACTTTAATGGTCATTAGCAACCCTGCACTTGAGTAAAGAATCACATTAAAAAGTGTAAGGTATAATATTTTCTTTTCCACAACTAAGGCAAGATGAACAAAAGTAATGAGCTTATTCGATCCTCACCTAGCAAGCCTTGATTTTAAACAGTATTCAAAATATAAAGCTCAAGAGAGGATGTTGTCATGATGATTATTGCCCTTTCTCAGTGTCTTGCTATAGGATTAGTTTTTCCGTTAGCAATATATAATTTCTTTGCCTGAAGACCACACAAATTTATCATACTCTGAGAAAAAAAAAAAAGCACTTAAAGTTTTATGAAGTTATGACCTAGACAGAAGGATACAAAACCAAATTACTGTTCTATGATTCAGCTATGTCATGATCTAATATTGTTTCAAAATTATTATTCTGTTATTTAGGTTGGCATCATCCTCTGAACACCCAACGTGCTCTCTGGCATGCTACAAATTCAGCAGATACACTGTCTTCTGGGCTTTACAGCCTCTTCTGACGAATGTACAACATTTGGAACAAAGCCACTCTTGACGCCTTCCCATCCATCTTGAATTGAGATTTCTCCTTTTTTAACAAGTTCATAGATGTCTCGTGTAAGAATTGTAAAGGACTCCTCAACATTCGTGGCATCTTTTGCTGAAGTTTCTATATATTTCATACCGCAGTCAGATGACAGTTTTTCAGCTTCTTCTCTTGTAACCTCGCGCTGTGACACTAAGTCACATTTATGTCCTACTAACAGGAACACAATCTGAAAGGGCTGCACATGCATTTTTGCTTCTTCCAGCCAGTCTTTCACATGTTCAAAGGATCGTCGATTTGTGAGGTCAAACACTAGTAAGCCACCCACAGAATTGCGATAATATGAGCGTGTTATTGATCTGTGAGGGAAAAACAAAAGAAAAACTAAAATACAGTTTTACTTATTGTAAATAGATTACTTTTCCATGTGGCAATGTGTTTTTATCTACTGCAAGTTTTATGAAATATCTTTGCTTTTTTAAAACTAAGTGGAATTTATTAATTTACCTTCTACACACAAAAATATTCCTTTTTCATTTTTTCTTGCATTCAAAAGTCACTTTCTAAACATTCTTGAAGCCAACATCTCTAGTGCAAATTTTGAATGACTTTTCCTGTAAAGTGTTCTTCATTAGAAATAAAATATATATATTTGTCAAATACTTCTTGGTGTTAAAGTCTGGCTCCTTCAGTTTTATACATACATGCACTTTGCTTTGTTCTAATCAATTATTTCAAACTGAAATAGGTAGGCAGATGTCTAGAAACCTGGAGCCTAAACTCGCCAGTGTACAAGCATATCCTTTTGTATTCCTTGCAGAAAAATTCTGATAGAAAGTCTGTACAGATAGCCATAATTCTTGGTGCTTGTGGAAGCCAACAGGTAACAGACTAAGAGAGGAAACCTCCTAAACAGAACTGTCCAAAAGCAACTGAGCTGGGCAAACACACACTTGTTAAGAGCATTAGCAATGAATGCTTCTACCTCCACCATCTCTCACTCACAGAGGTTCAAAAGCTTTTTAAAATTGCATTTACTCCTTTTTGGCATGAGACTTCCAGGACTGGCAATAGCTATTTTCTACTTTTGAGCCCTCTATGTTCCAGAGCATTCACTGGAAGGAATTTTGGAAGAAGAAAACTCTTTCTCTGGTTGAAAAGATTTTTAATGTGCTCTAGAAAAAGGAAAAAAAGAGAGAGAGAAAGATACAGGGACAAAGAAATGATAGTCTCTAATCATGAGCAATTGGTGAGGATGGAGAAGCTGAGAAGAGACATTTTAGAGGCAGTGACAGTCTACTGAGGAGCAGACGCAAGCACTTGTTACTAGCATAAATATACAGCAGTGTATATATAAGTATTGTCCAACTGAAACAAGATGCATAACAGTAGCTCCCTCTGATTCTCATTTAACTGCATTTCTTGTAGTGTTTTATAAGAATTTGAACATAGATGTATAATTAGCAGCAGCAGTCATATTACACACAGGTAAGTGCATAGCTAGATAAGCCTTGGGTTTCTTGGAATATCTAAATTCATTTATCCACAGGAAACAGCTCTTGAAATGGTTTTACCTAGATAACAGAGAGACCTTGTTTGTCCTAATTTTTGGAACCATCTTTTCTATGTTCCCAGCAATAGAGTCCATGGAGTGTCTCTCTAAGCACTTTGAATGTGAAGACAACAACATCTTACGCTCAGATTAATTCAGATAACATGGACATGAAAACTGGCACATGATTTTGCAACATTAAGACCATAAATTAGTGGTGTCACATTTTGCGGAGTATTAAATAAAGGTACCATGAAGACCCATTTTGGGTTTTCTTAAGCATTTTTTTTTGCTGCAAAGCAGTTGCAAACACAAAGGAGTGCATTAAAATAATTCAAGTGGTTCTAGAAAGAGCAGAAGCGGATGACAAAAATGGGGTTCGATTTGGAGGAGTGGAAGCTAATACAACCTATTTTAATTAAAAAACCAACAACTTGGAAACAGTTATCCCAAAGAAATGCATCAGTGGGGGAAAAAGGTAGGTTAGTATTGAAATGCACTGCATCATTTACCCAGCACTTCCATCTAGAGTGATGTTACACCATGGATCTGTGTACTGGAGTACTGGAAATCTGCCCTCTGTGTGCTCCTGGGTGCTTATACAGCGGTCAGGACCCTCATCTGTTTTAACTCACTTCTGCAGAGATATGCAAATTTACACTAGCTGATGATCTAAGCCATTATATTTAATTGTGTTGCCTGTAACGAAGACGATCAAAAAGCATTTGTAACAAAAACTGGATGAATACATGGGAGAGGCAGCAGTTGTTTTTCCTATATTGTTCGGTATGTATTATTTGAAGTTACTTTTCTCATTATTAAAAAAATGTTGATATAGTAGAAAGGCTTTAGGAAACAGTAACAAAAGAAAAAAGTAACACAAAAAGTTTTAAAGATTCTTCGATACATATATCATGTTACGTGATTGTCTAACATCTAAGAAAAGGGTGATTTTTGTTAAAATATAGTCTACAAATATTTGTATAGTTTTATTATTAAGGTGAGTTATTATTTGCAGTTCTATTTTAAAAGAAAGTATTCCTGGCAAAAATATGGCAACATTTTGAAGTAGAAACCTTAGGCCATCAACTGGGAAAAATGTCTGAATGTGGTAGGTTGTTCGCAGTATCTGAACATTTTACGGATGCAAAATATTTGACATAAATACAACAGTCAGAGTAGATAAAGTATTATAATTTTAGTAGACAGCTTAGTCTTATTTGGCAAATGAACTGTGTGAAGCTGCTGCGCTTCTGCTCACTTATGCCTTGTATCACACCTAGAAAGAATTAAAGCCTGGCCTGGTAGGTCTCTCCGCTTTTGTTTTGTTTTGGTTTTTTTTCTCTATAAAAATAAGTACAAGGGCAATTTTTAGTTCATTAATATTATTGGTAAAGATTACAGAACTTTTAAATGCCTTTAACAAGCCTTGGGAAAAAAACCCAAGCATCTAAAGTTGTCCTCCGCTCAGCTGCGTATCTAACCGTGGTGCCTGAACAAGTTCCCCAGTGACATGAGCGCTCTGCCTTGGTGCAGGCTGTGAGCCACTCGCTCGCTCGGCAGGGACAGCCCTGCTCGCCTGCTTAGCTCAGATCCGAGCAGAAAACAAACCGCTGCTACAGGCAGGGTTCTGCCTGGGAGGATTTCCCAAGGATTTGGGGATGTTGACAGATGAGAAACTCAACATGAGCCGGCAGTGCGCTCATGCAGCCCAGAAGGCCAACCGAGTCCTGAGATGTATCAAGAGAAGCGTGGTCAGCAGATCAAGAGAGGTGATTCTCCCCCTTTACTCTGCTCTTGTGAGACCCCACCTCGAATACTGTGTCCAGTTCTGGTGCCCCCACCATAAGAGGGACGTGGATCTGTTGGAGCGTGTTCAGAGGAGGCCACAAGGATGATCCAGGGGCTGGAGCACCTCTGCTGTGAGGACAGGCTGCGGGAGCTGGGATTGTTCAGTCTTGCAAAGAGAAGACTTCAGAGGGACCTAATAGCTGCCTTCCAATACCTGAAGGGAACCTACAGGAAGGCTGGGGAAGGACTTTTTACAAGAGTGTCCACTGACAGGACAAGGGGAAATGGGTTTAAGTTGAAGGAGAGTAGATTTAAATTAGATCTTAAGAAGAAATTCTTCAGTATGAGGATGGCAAGACTTTGGAATAAATTGCCCAGAGATGTTGTGGCTGCCCCCTCCCTGGAGGTGTTCAAGGCCAAGTTGGACGGAGCCTTGAGTAGCCTGATCTAGTTGAGAGGCGTCCCTGCCCATGACAGGGAGGTTGGACTAGACGATCTCTAAGGTCCCTTCCAGCCTAGGCCATTCTGTGATTCTGTGAAAGCCTTAAATTAGGGAAAGGGTGGGATTAGGGTAAAAAAGTAATGGCCAAAGAGCAGCCTTTGTTCTAAAATTGGGGAGACAGCACTGAAGCATGCCATCTCCTTCCAGGAACCTGTTGAGAGAAGGTGCTGTTGGAAGTGGGAAGCAGAGCTTTGTTCAGATTTAGAAGCTGGCAAACTTGCCAAGACTTTGAACAAAAGTGGAATGAACTCTTAAATCCATCCCTGCATCTCTCTGCCTGAAACACTTTTTTTTCTTCTACTCCTTTGTGCCCAGTACTTCCCTGTTGTCTCCTCTCTCAGCTTCTGTTTCACGGAAGAGTCTGAAGCCTTCTCTGAGTGACAGCTCATCGAAGTACCCAAACCAGTGTGTCTGCCTGGGCCTTCATTCCAGGTGCAAGCTGGTGTTTCAAGCCGGTGTTTCAGGGTGGAGTTTGCCCGTTTCCCATGGCTACACTTAATGAAAGGAAACAGCTCTCCTACAATTGAGGCGACTGTAACCCCTCAGTGACCGGGTGAGTAGGTAGCAGTGCAGCTCCTCTTCTTTCAGGCTCTTCAGCCTGTCACTTCAGCATCGATGATGGGTGTGCTACAGCCTCCAGTCCCTCCACCCTAGACGTGTGAACTGTTACAGCATCTTGGCCTAAGTAACAAAAACTGACTTAAGCATTATTGAAAAGGTAATTCTTATTTTCTCCCCCACTCCATGTAAATAAATAGAGATTACAAAGCTCCTTATCTATGCTGATGTTAAATATGGGCTGTCCCAGCATCCTCAAGACTATCCTAAGTTTTTATTTTCAGCAAGAATACTGGTATGAATAATATTTTTGCTCATTTCATACAATGCTTGCCATTTGTAACAAATAGGTAAATACAGATAAAGAGTTGGAGAAAATCAGTTTTAGCCTATTAGAATATGTTAAAAAGGTAAGACTGCACTAGATATTAAAAAGGAATCATGCTATAAAGTTCCTCCAGATGGTTCTGTGTTGGAAATTGCTGGAGGTGAGACCGCTCCTCAAAAAGTTGTAGGTTGTGATGTACAATAATGATGTATTAGAATGTTTTTCCAAAGGATAACTTCGAAGTCTTTACTTTTAACCGGGAATATTTGTTAAATGCAGATCCTAAATTCTTTTGTAAATTAAGACTTCCCACGCAGTGTAGGTGGTGGTTCTGCTAATTAATTCTGCCTAAACTACTATTATGGAACAGGAAAATGCTGTCTAGAACAGAATTCATTCTCTTAGCTTAATCTAAATATTAAGTTCAAGATGTAAGACCCTAATTAATGTTCTTAAGAAGAGCCTTGGTAAGATGATGGCCACTGAACAATTGTTTCTGAAAATGAATGAGAAGATGTATTAATCACATCACACTATGGCTTTAGGGTGACTTTAAATCAGTCACAGTGTTTCTTTCTCATTATGATCTTACTGATCTTTACCAGATAAACGAAACTTGCATTAAAAG